GAGCAAAACTGCGTGCGTGCGCCTGTGCACATACACACGCTCATTTATATATATATATACACACACACGCGAGCGCACACAAAGAGCTGAGTAGCGGCAAACAGTTTGCTAGGCATTCGCTACAGTGCCGTAGGAAGGGATTTGTCATCTTCACCGTGGCAGTGCCTGGCTGGGTGGCCAGGGCTGATCCCCAAACAAAGCCTGAAGCAGCGCCCCAACTCTGGCCGGGTGTCTGGGGAAGAGAAGGAGAAAAGGGCAGCCCAGGGTGGTTTTCTGGAGTCGTGGCTCCTGACAGTCCCTGGTACCCTCCAGTCAAGTTATTGCTTAGTGCTGTACAGAGCCAGGCTTGAAAAATACACCCTTTTACTCCAGTTTGATCTAGAAGGCTTAGCAGATTCAGGGGACAGCAGTGTGATCCAATAGGTTCTACTTAATTCATTGCTGGTGGTCCAGTATGGCAAGGACAATTGCTTGAAGAGGAAACAAGGTGGTGCCTCAGCAGCTGTTGTGATTTTGGCTCTGTCCAGCTGCCCAAAGGCCAGGCTGTGGCATTGTCCTCTGACTCGTTGGTTTGTACAAGTAAATGTAGACCAGGAGAATAGTCAGCCACCAGGTTAGTCAGTGATGCCTCCCACAGGTGCCCTGTCTTGAGGAGCCCAGCGCATTGCAGGAGGTTGGCTTTCTGTCCACAGTCCTCAGTTCAGAAGTGGGGTTAAAGGGCTGTGGACTTCGGAGCCTTCAGGCCGAGGTGATCATCAGCTGCTTTAAGACCATCCCGACCGTATTTTCCCCATACCTTCATGGCAGAGCAGACCGCTGGCTGCATGGCAGGGTCTGGCAAAGGTCTTGTAGGGTCCCCACGGGTGGTGACCTCCTGCGTTATTCCAGCTGGAGGTCAGCAGAGGGCTCTAGCAGTGTGGGCCCAGATTGCCTTTTTTTTATGTTGCAATGGATTTCAATTTCTGTAACTTCATTGGTGTGACAGGCTGAGTGTGCATTGCCAGGGGTTTGTGGCAGGCTGTGTTTGGGATAGGTGTCCATTTTGCATGGGCAAAATTTGCTGGCGGGCTGCCGCTTGTTGTGCTTGACCCTTGCTCCT